AACGGGGACCCTGCCAGGGGTTTGTCCCGGTCATTCTTCTCTCCGACCTTCTTTTCCAGCCTTTCCAGCTTTGCCTCCATCTGCTGGACGCGGTCGTTTGGGATGGTTAACCGGTTCGCCACCGGTAACCTGGGCTGGCTTTCTGCCTCCCCTTCCTGGTGGGAGGCCCTCGTCCTCGCTGGCTCCTGCCGGTTAGACCAGGAGCGCCGGGTGCGGACAGGCTCGGCCTCCCGCACCTCGCCTAGCCGGGCGAATGCGCTGACATGGGCAACACTCTGCCCCAGCCTCTGCTTGGCTGACTTCCTCTGGCCTTCCTCCCTATCCCCCAGCCTTTCGAAGTCGGAGTTTCGGGAGGTCGCTGGCCGGATGTTTTTTCCTTTCTTCTTCTTGTGGGCCCTCGGGATGTCCCACTCGTCGTCATCGCTCTCAATCGAGACGCAATGACCGTCAGGAGTGATCTGCGGAACCGTAGCTTGCGGGGGACGCGACGGCCCTGCAGCGTTAAGTGCACCGGCCAAGTTGACAGGGGCCATGGTGCTGACCAGCTGGGGCTGGAAAGGTGATGGTTGTGGCATCGGCGTCTGGAACGACGTCACCGCCATCAGAGCTTGTAGGGGCATGGTCCCCGCGCTTGGAAGGGCGAATAGGAACATACCAGGGAGGAAAGGCATCCCCCCGTTCTGCTGGCACATGGCCATGACCTGGCCAAAGCCCTGGATGGCTTGTAGGTTGGCTGGGTCATTCATGAACTGAGTCATGCTTGGTGGGAACGTTACCCTCGGTCTAGCGGAAGGGACGGGGGTCACGAAGGGACTGATCACGCTGGCCGTCGGGACAGAGCTCAGACCCAAAGGCAACACCGGGGCTGAAATGACCGGTATGGTAGCAGCCACAGGGATGCTGGCTCCCTCGTTGGTGGCCTGCACCTGAGCGGAAGTAGCGTTGATTTGTTGGCTGGAAGACATTTCGAGTGGTGTTTTGGTGGGTAGGTTTGTGTTTAGGAGAAGAAACCTTAACGGTCCCCCGGTCGGCGCCAAAAATGATGGTGTAAATTACTTGACTGGTCAAACTATACTAGACCGGGTCTAGAATAGTTTGCTTGATTTGGCAAAGTAAGAAAAGTAAAAACACGTAGACTGACCGGTAGGACTTTAGGTGGAACACATGTAGCCCAATTTATATTATAACGGAGAATGCACGGGTGCTTTTACAAGGGAGTTTAGAGAGAATGAATTCGGATCCCTCTTTCTGAGGTTTACATGAGTATTTATACTAGGCTAAGGGGACAGGACCACGTGCGCCCACGTGGGGGCATGCTGCTGATGTGGTGCGAGGTGACTGGTTTCGTCCTCAAGCTGCCTTGT